AATATGAAAACGTCATGATATTATAAATAAAAGTCAAAATATAGAATAGCAAACGAACAACTTTTCAATCAGTCTCAGCTCGAAAAATAATGGTGGTAAAGACTTGGGATAAAAGCACTTATGACTAAAGCGGTGAAATATCTAGAAATTGATTGATTTTAAGAGTAAATTTATTTTTTACGCTATAAAAATTGTTGTGCTTAAATTAATTAATAATGCTAGCATGCAAACGAGATGTCGGACTTCTAATTTAATAGCGCCATCTTGTAGCGGAGAAAACGTTGTTATGGCAACGTGAAATTAATTTTGAGACATCCCTGTAAATAAAGTCGAAATAGAAATTTAAAAAAAGACGGCAAATGTGGATTTGCCATTCACCAATGTCATGTCAATACAAAAAGAGCTATAATGACATGACTACAATAATACGTTAATTTTTTTTTCTACTCCCGTCTGTAAAATTCCTAATTACCCACCGATATAGCATGCGGGAAGGGTGACTTTACCACGTCAGTTTCGTTTCCCACGAATCCGAGCCACTTCGGACATTTCCGGGATTTTACCGCACGGATTTGGGAGCAATCGGATATTTTCGGAAATGTTTCCCACGCTTTGAATTTTAACGTTTACCAATTCTGACGGTCATGTCAGTGAACGTATTCGTGTTGTTTTGCGAAAATATACCCAAAAACTAATGGTCGTAGAAAAAGTATAGGATGCAACACGTTCGGTAAACTTTTTAAGTGACTCGTTTATTAAACACTCGCTCCGCTCGTGTCAAATGTCGTTTACAGCACTTGTTGTATAGTATACTATAGTACTTTAGAATATTTTATGAGAAAAATGAAAAAAAAAGGAAATCCAGTGTGTGGAAGTTCATGACAGTTTCTCGCAAACGAAACCTCGTATAGACGAAATCTAAGTATACCATTTTCTAGATAGAAAAAGTGGCGTTTAATCCACATTAATCCATCTTTTGTATAGGATAGGAAATTTTTATTAAACTACTGGTTTAGTTTTCGGTCATGAGGAAGAACACTTCTTACAAGTGACTATTCGCGTAAACCATACGTGTTCATCGAATTGATTTTAATTAAAAAAATGCATATTACTTGAAAAAAATCTATTGTTACTATTATAAACACAAGATGAAAAAGTAGAGCTAGCAGGATCCGAATTTGTGGGAATGTCATTCGGGAGCGTAAATATCCCGAATGATACAAAAATCCGCTCTTTCTTAATCTAAAAGGCCACTTAAAGTGTCCGAACTGCTTCGGGTGGGCAAGGTGGGTACAACAAGATTTAGTGGAGCCGCTGTGCCGACACGGTTGCTCTTTTATCAGGTGACAGTTCTTGTACTAATGAATGTTTTCGGAGCCCTGTCCGCTTGTCTTTTCGGTGTCGGTCGTGTGTGGTGTGCGGGCCCGGTTCAGATCTCGACTGCTAACCGATTTCGGACAGCGTTGCCGAATCGCCTTTCCGCGAAACTGCTTTCAAAAATTTACAAAACTTGGGTATTAAAATTAGGGTACGCTGCTTTAAAAGGAGGTTGGGAATGTGAAAACAGTTTTTGATCGTTGATCAGATATTCCAAATAGAGATCTTTAAAGAAGTTTATAATTCCCTCAAATTCCGGATGTAAATGGCGATCAAGAGAAGAAAAAGTCAGTTTATTGTACTATCCACAAAACAGTTCATATTGGTTGGAACCATTAAATGCCTGTATAAATGATTACAATAATACTTAAAAAATTACTACAATGAGCCTCTTTTTTAAAGAGAGAAATAATCTCAATGCTCGTAAATTTGGAACGATGTCGAGTGCTTCAAACAAAGCACAAACACAATTTCCTAACATAATTTTCCTTACTTTGAGCCTACTCGTCACTTGACAAGTTTTTGGTTTTGCCGGTTCGTTCATTCAATACTGTATGCCAATCCTCGAACATCCATTTTTATTGCTTGGTAGTGTATGATGTGTTTGAAGTAATAAAAAACTTGATCTTGAAAAAATGTAAAATTTTGATTTTTTCTATCTAGGCAGAGTGTATGGAATAAAAATGAATGACGTGCAAACTGAAAACTATATTTCTAAACAAAACACAAGCAGAGTAAAATATATCTAAATTAAAAACAATATCGCTAAATATCGGAAATAGTGTTGGGGCCGCTCAATTGACCGACAATTAATTGAATAGTCAAATTCAATCAAAATGTTTTAAATAACAATTGTAGAGTATTATCTACTTTTTTTTATCGTAATTTGTATTTTATAATAAATACAGCGCTTTTCAAAGAATACCCGGATACGATACTTAGCGATTCGGGGAATCTCAATAAAAATATCTAATTCATTTAGTTTTTAGAACGACGCGATAGTGACGTAATGCACAATATAAATAAATATAAATTTCATTGTATTTTTAGAATTATTTCAGTCAAGTGACACAAAAAAAAATGACCGGTCAATTCCACAATCCTAATCTGAACGTATTCTTTTCTGCCCGACAGCTTTGCTCATGTGCACATAATTCTCCCATTTTAGCATCCTTGAAGTGATCATCTTATCATCATTATTTGGAACGTCACCAATTTCTTCCGTTTGATGACCTTCATCAGGTGGAAGAAATTCATCATTTTTTGATTCTCATTTTTCAGTTTTTTGCTTTCATTTATCGTCTGCTTCTATATTTTTGTTTCAAATGAATTTCGTTTTCCTTGTTGGTAGCACTAGGAGAATTCTGAATTGATCTTTCCAACGGTACTTCGCTTGGTGAAGGCGTGATAATTTATGACTTGGAAACTTTTCTGTTTTTTTTTCACTGTAGGAACAGGTGAAACATCGAAAAGCGCCACAAAGTTCCTACGTATGTATAACTCAACCGTACGAGGCCACAGTAAAGACCCTAATGTATTGTCATTAGCACGGGTCCAAATAGGGGCACTAGCTCATATACAGTCCTTCTAACAAAATTACTAAGTTAAAATTTTTATAAGGTTGTATGTGTTCAAGGCAAACAAACTGTATTTAAAAAAGCAAAAATTTCAATCAGCAATTTGGACTTATTGTGTAAAATATTTCAACTATTACAGAATTGAAATTCTAACGGTAAATTTAAGATACTTTCAAAGTATGGCGTCACTTGCTTTGTAAAAATATCAAGATATTAAGAGCAAGGCTCGCCCACATTAAGACCCCCTCCTCTAGCAATATTAGTTTAATTGAAGCGTATTCTAATTTGATTAAGGAACCCAATATGCTCAGATCACAATATCCTCAATGTTATTCGCAAAAGAGAATTTTTATCAAATATCACCTCCCAGGTCTGTGATATCTGGTACGGTTGCCAAAAGCGTAATCGTTTTATATATAAATAAATATCCTACAAAAATCAATGCCAAGAAGGTTTTTAAAAATATCGTTTTAGTCGGTTTAAAGCCATCCACGGGGAAAATGCGTTTTAGTTGTTATCGTACGCGAAGCAAAATTTTCGACCGTTACTGCTTCCACCCTCCGGCATTTCCGAGACGCACCATAAATATAAAAGTGCCTCCCGCGCCGTAATCGACATCGGAATTAATCACCGGCGACCGCAAAGAAGAAGAAAACGGAGATAAAGGAGCAGAAACAATAAGTTTGTGGCAGGTACGGGGACTGTTCCAGGTCACCCGGTATAACAAATGACTGTAATCTATCACTCGGGACGAACATAAAATCTGTGTTAAGTTGATGACGCCCCGTGCTGCGTGGACCGCGTCTGCGTGTAACTTATACCCACATGTCGATTCGACGGTTATCTATCTGACGGCACCTACGTCACGACTCGTGTGCCTCTGCGAACTGTTTCGACTTGGTAGGAGCTTACTTCGATGTTATTCCTTGCGTTTTTCGCTTTTGAGTTCTGTCTTTACATTTTGCACTAGTTGGAATAATTTTTACTGCCTCCTTCACTACTTCCTTTGACTTGTCGCAGAAAAAGGTAACCTACAATCTTTCTTAGGTGTTAGATCGCGCAGGAAATTCAAATATCATTTTGGTAATGTGGGTTTTAAAACATAAGAAGAAGAAGAATGAAGAAGGGGAAGATGGTGGCTCTCGTTTGCCCGGTAGAGTAAGACGTAAATAAAAATTCAAATGTGAGTAAAGAGAATATTAAAATATCAAGTGAATTATGTGCTCCCATTGTAGTTTTAGTGAAATGCATTGATAAGGCGTTGATTAGCAAATTTCCAAAAATGTTACAAAAAACAGGTTTTGCAATGCTTTTTTTAAATATAATAATTTTCCTTACAATTAAGAAATGCGTTTGAAAATATGATCTGATATGATCTAATATGATAATATCATAATGATATATAATGATAAGTTTGACACATGTACTTTTTGTTATTCAATAGTAACCTTACTTGCTCACTCTATAATGGCAGATATTGCTTGCGTTGTATACTTCCCCCATCTCCGCGTAGCTTCTGCTGTTAGATGTTTTTAATATGATTGTTAGAAAAAGAGCATCATTATATATATATATATATATATATATATATATATATATATATATATATATATATATATATATATATATATATATATATATATATATAATATATATAAAAAGAAAGATGATTTCATTAAATAGGCAAGGCCATTAAAATAGTTCAGAATATGTGACCTGTGCGTTAAAACTTTGTTATTAAAAGGGTTTTGGTAATAAAATACGTACATAGGCAAACTAAGCCAGTATAGAGAAGATTTAGTTGAGACGGGCATTTTATAAAACAAATAATTTTATGGTATTCAAAAGAAAGGTGGATCAAATCTTCCGGATACCATGTTATATTTTTTGTGAACTTTAAGTACATGTCTCAACGTCCCAACAAAAAGCATATTCCTTAGTACAACTACTCCCATAATTGTGCCAATAATTCTTGATAACATTTCATCAAATCAACAATCATTCCAAATTTTGGGATTAAAATTTACCAATAATTTTTTTTCTCGATTTATTTCAAATAATATTATTTTACATATTATATTTTTACATCATTGTGTGATTTGTATTTTCGTATTTTTAATTCCTATTTCATAGCTTTTATAAGACATTAAAATTTCAAAAAAACATTCATAAAATTATGAATCGCACCTGTAAAACAAAGAACTGAAATTTTGTAGCGAATCAAACCAACACCGACGTTTAACGCAAAGGCGCGCATTTAAAAAGTAAAATCCGCTGAAATAAAATAAAAACAGCTCGTTTGTCGCCAGAAACAACCGATTGCGACAAACAAAATAAACACATTTGAAATTCATAACAAAAATGTATCAACGATTTAACTGATAACTACGATAAAATATTTTTGTTTTAAAACTTGCAACTGTTTAAATAAACTATACGTTACTCGGTTGTTATCAAAGGTCGAGCATTGAAATTGAATTATGTGTTTCATTTACAGTTTAATTGAGAGATTATTTTTCAACACAATTGAAATGAACCTTATCATTATTACATTACAACTTTCTTCAAATTAGCGAAATATTGAAATTGCCCATGCTGTTCTTTGTTTTTTCATCTTCTCCAACGGCGTGAGAAATCTATTTATTAACAAACAAAAACTCTCATCAATGTGTCAGGTACCACAATATTACATCTGCTAAACTGCTAAATATATACTACACGAAAACGAAAAATTCTGACTAAATGAATCTACAATCAGTTTATATGAAATATTTAAGATAGCAGGCATAATCAGGACCAAAGGACATACAAAATACTGCGTGTCATAACCTATGGCTTTACACCAAAGAATAAAAACAACCCCAGATAAACAACAAACTATAGGCGTTGGGCAAAATATACCTAACATTAATAATTAACATCATTAACAAGTTATTGATGAATCGAATTGATGTTTCTTCAATCACCCTGTTGGCTTCTTCAAATCTTTAGTGATGCCAAACGGATAATTGGCGAAACATGAGCAACTTCGATTCATCAACAAAAGATTTTTAAATAATAATAAATATTTATTAATATATTATTTAGCTACAACCTATCAAAAATTCAATATACGTCAAGGCTTGCCAAGAACTCGAACGCGTTTTATTCAATGAAACTGTTCGATGTTGATCAGTTCCTCGGATTTTTTCCACAAGTTTTCGGCGACTGCGCGATTTTTTGCATTGAAATACCTATTGACCGCGTGACACTCGTGAAAAATCTCTCCCGAGTAAGGCTCTATACCCTTCTGAACCCCGCAGTAGATCTGTGTCTGAGCCCCTTCGATTGGAGTCTGAAACCGTATCATAAGCATCCGTTTCTCAGCGACCGGTGTAACCTACGCACCTTTACCAAAAAGTTGAGTGCGAACTCCAGAGGTTTCCTAACCATATCGGGCACGTTTCGGTATATTTGGGTGACTGCAGTACCTGGGTGAACCGAAAACGTGGTTACTCCAGTCCCTTCCAGTTTTCTCGCAAGCTCTGTCGTGAACAATATAATATAGAGTTTGGTGGTGGCGTATTTCACGTACTGGTTCTGCCTGAACTCGTTCATTTTCTCCACGTTCGTGTCACCAAACAGAGCAGCATACGATGACACGTTCACTATCCTGGACGAGCCCGTTTTCTTCAGAAGATCTAGCAACAAAATGGTTAACAGAAACGAGGACAAATAGTTGACTTGCACGGTGATCTCGATTCCGTCTTTGGTGATTTGGTTGGGCACGTAACCGGTAGCTGCGTTATTTACCAGTATATCAAGACGTTTCTCGGTGGCGTTAATGTTTTGGGCTAGAGTTTGTACCGATTGCAGACTACTAAAATCGACGAGCTTGTAATAAACGTCAGGATTGCTCGTTTCTTCTTTTATCCTCTCGCAAGCTTTGCGGGCCTTTTCTTCATTTCTGCAGGCGAGAATCACTTTGGCTCCCCTCTTGGCGAAGTCCAAAGCGGTCTCGTAGCCCAAACCTGCAAATTACTGTTTTTAGTTTTTAAAGTGGAATAATACAGAACAAGTCTTTCTGGGTGTTTGTAGTTCGTGAAACACACATTGAGAATTTCATGTGACATTTTTTACTGTTGTTTATTTAATATTCGCTTTACTTTCTTGCTTGTTTCGTTGAATGTAAGATATTAAAAATTAAAGATCTTACGGCCAGTAACTCAACACGTCTTTTTGCTCGAATGGAGTTAAATCGTTTATAATATTTATAAGTTCTCAAAAATTTGATGGCATCACTGCCATTTTTTGGAATAAATATTAGTATATATTTTTGAAATGAAATCTTTCCAAAATATTTTTATATATTTTGATTCATTTATTTAATCTCTCTTCACAAAAAAAACATTGTATTATGGTAAAAAAACAAGTCAATATTATGATGAAGGTCATTTTGTTGAGTGAGGTATTGACAGTTATTTTGAACTACTAGTCTAAATACCTACATTGTAGTTGAGGATTCTTAAATTAATTTTTATTACCATTAAAATGGATATATTTTATATGATCACAATTGTTGTACTTTTTACTATTTACAATATAATATACTTGCCTATCTCGTTAATTGGTTAACTTCAAACATTTCCAAAAATGTTTTATGTGAAAAGTAGATGTATAGTGCCGATATAAGCAACAGAAACCGTACATAACCTCAATTTCCTAACCCCCCCGCAGCGGGGGCCCCCCGCGCGTGGCGTCCTAGTGTCCCCCCTGTCTACCAGAGTGCGCTCCGCCCCCCACCCAGCTTGTGTAGCGTCCTGTTTTGCCCCGGTTCCGCCCGTCGCTGCTAGATGTCGCCAGCTTGTGTAGCGTCCTGTTTTGCCCCGGTTCCGCCCGTCGCTGCTAGATGTCGCGCGCTCCGACCGTCGTAGGCCCCCCCGGTAGAGGGCGGTGACGGTGCGGCGCGGTGACGCGGTGGATCGGGAGGATAATTAAATAAACTTGAATTTTAATACATTTTATTTTATTTATAAAATTGGTCTGGCGAGGAGTTTCTTCTTCTTTTTATGTCGATTCAGTCGACCATCCCATTGTTCCTGTTCCTTGCGTTGTTCTTCTTCCCGTTCCCGGAGGAAATCTAAATACGAAGTGCACTCCTCGCCGTCCCACTCCGTCGACCACCCACCCGGGTACTCCTGCTGCTCCTTTGTTTCTTTTGATCCACCGGGTTGCTCCTGCTGCTGGTGATGTTCCCTTGTCGTTTCATGTCGTACCGGGAATTCTAACCCCCGGTACTCTTTGTGTGATTTGAATATGTGACGCCCTAAGCGATGCGCCAACATAATATGCGACTTGTCATACGGACAAACCGCGATTTTTTCTAGAACAAAACAAAGTATGATATGTAGCGTTTCCTATAAAACACACATTTTTTTTTTTTAAACAAAACTTCCAAAAAGGGGGGTTATCAAATAATTTTAAAAATTGTTTTTTAAGTTATACGCGCATACCAAAATTCACGTTTCAATTCACTGTCATTTAAATGTACGTGTATTATTGTCAAAAGGGCAAACTGTAATTTTTTAGTACAAAAAATAAACAAAAATATGTATATATTTCGCGTTTTCCCCATAAAACGCACATTTTTGAAACAAAACTTTCAGTAATTTTAAAAATTGTTTATTTTTTAAAAGCCAAAATTCCCTATTCACTGTCATTTAAAAGATATTAAAAACGCTCAATTTAATTCGATTATTATTGTCAAAAAGGCAAACTGCAATTTTTTAGTACAAAAAATAAAACATTTTTGAAACAAATTTAAAAATTGTTTATTTTTTAAAAGCCAAAATTCCCTTTTCCATTCACTGTCATTTAAAAGCTATTAAAAACACTCAATTTAAATCGGTTATTATGCAACGTAAAAAAGATGAGTATCATATTTTAAAAACAGGTAGAAACTAACCAAAAAAGTGATAACCCAAACTGAAACCCACAAGAAAAGACGCGCACTGTATAAAGGTAATTAAAATATAAAACTTACCAGTTGTAGGATCGTAGGGAAATGGACATCGCACTTCTGTATTCATTGCACTGAATATAGTCTATAATACACATGCAACGTATTTATACACATGCACTCCCTTCCATGGTTGAATTAAAAGTCGAAAGGTCTTCTACCCACAAGCACCAACGCCGATTTGAATAGACGCGATGTTGTCGCCAGACAACCGTGCAGGTAGAAGTCTCAAGGTCAACACGCTTTCACACGGGAACGCAACCGCTTCGGACGTTGGACGAACGTATGTTGCCGCAAAAGATCAAGGCCAACTTGCTTTCATTTTTTACAATCTCCGTATGGGATGTGGAATTTCATAACGCGCCGAGTCTAAATGTCGAGTTGTTTTGCTTGTTGAGAATAATAATTAATTGCCCCCTTTATATTTGCTCCGTGGGATTAACGTAATGGGAAAAATTTGTTGCAACGCATGTGGAGGTGTCTTCGTTTGTTAACTTTTAGAAAGTATTCTCGCACCGTATAAATACATCTCATTTTTCTCTGTTTTGTCAGTAGTTGTTTTTGGTATTATTCGTGCAACGTGGAAGCTAACTTAGTGGTTTGGTGTTCGTACAAAAAAGCAGTAAGTACCTTTTTTATTGTCTTATTTTAATTCTTTAACATTTGTTATTATTTTATAAAGGTCTTAAAGATCATCTTAGTACTCTCAACCCGTAACCGCAAATAGAATAGCAGCAATCTTAAGCGTAAGTTTTTTTTATTTTTTTAATTTTGAGATAAAATAATTAATAATAATTTATAGATGGACTTAAGTCAACTGAATCAAACCTGTCTTGCAGAAGGTGATTTTGAGCAGCCGATTGTCAAACTGCATGAATTGCCGATAGGCGTTCCGTTTAAAATTACTAGAGCCAAAATTGTTAATACAAAATTTGGCAATTCCGTGTTGCTGCAATTAGAAAATTCCGTAGTATTTCTTCCTACTCGCGTGACAGAAGCTTTCCGTCCGAGACTAGAACACTTTGCGTCGGGGCAGTACAAACTGGTCTACGAGGGATCCAAAGATATTGGAAAGCCCAACTCTTTAAAGAAATTCAAAATAATTCAAAATTAATCAACATATTATACAGGGTAAGTCTTATTTACTGTTATATATTTAATAAACCACGATGCGCGTAAAGCAGATCATTCATAGAGCGCAAATCTTAATTTTAACCTTACAAAAATTAAAAAAGCATATTTCCGACAAGTTCACTCTTAGAGATAGTGATGTGTGGCTTAGGAGACTAAATAAAAATATTGAATCTTGCAACCAAATCGTTTCTAACGAAAAGGATTTATCTATTGGGTTAAAAAGAAAATTACAAACTACAATTCAACATCTGAAAGCTATTAGAAAAATTATTCTTAATTATCAACATAAGCATTTTGGATTGGGATTACAAAGTAGTAGCCGCGAGACAAACACAAATGAAATGGTTGTATGGGAATCGGTAGCGTCGTGTTTCCAGGGAAGAGTTCAGACTGGTGTCATAATTAATTTACTTCATAAAGATTTAATTCAATTTTTAAACGATTCTCGTCCAATATTTCAACAAAAAATTAGTCAAATTTTAAAGAAATTTTTATTGCTGAAAGTAAATACCACATTTTGCGGTGAATTTATTAAGGCAAAAAATGATGTCCAAGGCGAAGTTGATGTTAAATATCTGAGTACCGGAAATGCTGTAGTTGATTTAGGAACAGAATTGAATGATTGGTTTGTTGAAAATGTGCAAGATAAAATTTTAAATCAAATGTCAGAGTTTCAGGAACGTGATTCCGGGTGGGCTTTAAATAATATTATTTATTTAGAGATTAACATTAATAAATTTGAAATGGGTAACGGGTCATCCTTCGTTGAGTTGCCTAAAGAAATTGCGAATAAAAGGGCTTGTATTAACATTAGAAATGACGATCAAGCGTGTTTTTATTGGTCAGTTGTATGCGGACTCTTTCCAGCACGTTTTCGTCAGTATTTACCCTCTTCATATCCATACTACAAAAGTGTTTTGAAAACTGAAAATTTACAAACACCTATGGAAATGAATAAAATAAGCAAATTTGAAAAAGACAATGATATTTCCATCAATGTTTATATCTTAGAGTTTAATAAAAATGAAAAAACTAGTTTTTTTTCCGTGTTACCTGCACGATTAACAAAAGAAAAACGCGAAAAACATTCAAATTTGTTGTTAATACAAAATAAATATTATCCAAAAGTTAATGATTTTGATCCTGATCCGCAAGATAATGATTATGAAGAAATAAAATATCACTATTGTTACATTAAAAATTTGTCTCGATTAGTTTCCTCACAGCTCAGTAAATATAATCACAAGAAATACATTTGCGATAGGTGTTTGAATTATTTCAATAACGAAACTCGTCTACATGACCACGAAACAATATGTTCCAGTTTCAATGAGTATAAAGTGTCTTTTCCCAAATATGATTACGTTGAATTTCGAAACCATATATATAAACAAAGGACTCCGTTTGTAATTTACGCCGATTTTGAGAGTCAATTGAGAAAAGTAAATTTGAAAATTTCAGATAAAACCTCGAAATACCAAAAGCACGAAGCTTACAGTGCTGCATATTACTTTAAATGTTCTTATGATGATTCAATATCATTTTTCAAAAGTTATCGTGGTCTAGATTGTATTGATTGGTTCGTGGAGGAAATATCTAATTTATCAAAATTTGTTCGTTCAAAATTTAAGGATATTATACCAATGGATAGTGAAATTAGTCTAGATCAAAGGTCGAGTCATTGTCATATTTGTGAAAAACCTTTTTTAAAAGAAGATGTTATTGTTCGTGACCATGATCATTTTACTGGTAAATTTAGAGGTTTTGCCCATCAGGCTTGTAATTTAAATTTTAAAAAAATATTTGTAGTGCCCGTAGTATTCCAGAACCTTTCTGGATACGATAGCCACTTCCTGCTTCCGGTTTTAGCAAAAAAAAGCTATGTATCCATAGTTCCGGTTAATAAGGAAAAATACATCTCTTTTACATATTTCGAACCTGATTATAACATAAAATTTAGATTTATAGATTCGTTTAGATTTTTGGGAGCATCTCTGGATAATTTAGTTTCCAGTATGGATAAAAATGAACTATATATTTTAAGAAAAGAATTTTCCGATCTCGACGAATCAAAATTAAATTTACTGTCGCAAAAAGGTATTTTTTGTTACGATTACATCGACCATATAGACAAATTAAATGAAACAACTTTACCCCCGATTGAAGAATTCTATAATAAATTAAGTGAAAGCAATATTAGTGAAGAAAAATATTCCCACGCACAAAGTGTTTGGCAGTCGTTTGAAATAAAAAATTTAGGCGAGTATTCAGATTTGTATTTAAAAACCGACGTTATTCTTCTGGCAGATATATTCGAAAATTTTCGAAAAACTTGTATGGCAACACACGTTTTGGATCCGGCGTGGTATTTCAGTATGCCCGGGTATACATGGGATTGCATGCTTAGATTCACAAAATGTCGTTTAGAACTTTTGCGCGACATTGACCAAATTATGTTTATCGAGCGGGCTATACGAGGTGGAATTTCGGTGTGTGTTGGTAGATATGCGGAGGCCAACAATAAATATATGCCCAACTACGATTCATCCAGGGATGATTCCTATATCATGTACTTTGACGTCAATAACCTCTATGGCAAGGCCATGTGCGAGCCTCTTCCTTACGGAGGATTCGACTGGATGTCTCATCAAGAGATTGATTCATTTAATGTCATGAACATTCCAGATGAATCTTCCCAAGGATATATCCTAGAGGTAGACCTGGAATACCCGCAGAAATTACATGACACACATAGAGATTTTCCATTTTGTGCCGAACATCGAGTGCCCCCCAATTCAAAGTTACCAAAACTAATGACTACTTTGTATAATAAAGAAAAATACGTCATACACTATCGCAATTTAAAACAGGCTCTCAAAAACGGTCTCGTACTAAAGAAAATTCACAAAATATTAAAATTTAACCAATCTCGTTGGTTGAAATGTTATATCGATCATAATAATAAATTAAGAACCCAAGCAAAGACAAAATTTGGTATAAATTTATACAAATTGTTTAATAATGCCGCTTACGGTAAAACAATGGAAAACATTCGCAAGCATCGTATTGTTAAATTTGTTAAAGCGTGGGATGGTCGCTACGGTGCGAAAAATTTAATTTCTAGTCCTAGATTTCACAGTAGAACCATACTTGATAACAATTTGTTGCTTATAGAATTAAAAAAATCGGAACTTTGCTTTAATAAGCCACTTTATATTGGAATGTCCATATTGGATTTGTCGAAAACGACCATGTACGAGTTTCATTATAATTACATGCTTCCAAATTTGGGTCCCGAAAAATGTAAAATTCAATACATGGATACGGACAGTTTCATTTATAATATCAAATGTTATGACGCATATGAAAGCGTTATTAAGGCCGATTTAACAAAATTTGACACGTCTGATTATCCTAATGACAATCCCTATAATATACCGCAAATCAACAAAAAGGTTTTGGGGTTGATGAAGGATGAGACTAATGGCACCATCATTAGTCATTATGCGGGGTTAAGGTCGAAAATGTATACTTTCAAAATTTTAACGGGTTCGGTAGTTAAAAAGTCAAAGGGTATTCAGTACAATATTGTAAAAAATAAAATTTCATTTGATGACTACGTAGAATGCTTAACAAATTTTAGGGAAAAGTACGCCACTCAACGAACCATTCGCTCATACACTCACAATGTATTTAGCATCGAACAAACAAAAGTTGCCTTGAGTCCTTTAGACGATAAACGTTATCTTTTGCCGAATTCATATGAAACGCTTCCGTGGGGACATTATAAAGTGCCGTAATTATTTTTTAATATATTTTTGTTACAGATTATGGTCAAACAACTTACATTAGAAAGCCTTTGTATTATAACAATTTGCGAAAATATTAGGTGTAGTGCTGATTTTTTGCTTGAGTCACCTTTGCCTTGGAAACTAACGATACTAATATTTAAATATTATTCGAAATATAGATGGAGGTACCTTAAACAATTAGCGCTCCAGTCTGATGGCAATTCTTTATTAAATTTAGAATTCATTCTGTTGAATAAGAGATTTGGATCGTCTTACAGAAATAGCATTTTGGCAACTCCAACCATTGATTTTGAC